GGGGGGGGGGGTTTATCGCCTGTGTCACAGTTGCTTACTAGACAGTGAGCAAATTTTACGCTTCGAAACCAGTAAGTAATAGAGGCACTCGCCACCATAGATGGAATTGAGGCTTAGGATCTGCTTGCAGCTTGACCAGCATCAACGCGCTCTAGATAAAGCTCTTGGCGTTGTCGTGTTGCTTCTGGCCATTTATGCCATGATCGGTGATATTCATGATCGAATACCACATCTACTGCTCTCGCATTGAGATACTTCACGCATGTTTAGCCTCACTAGCACCATTCACTAATGGTTGTTTCCGCATTGCAAAGAATGTCTTCGACGACGAACTCATCTTTTGATTCAAGGTATTGAGACGGAAGTAAAAGTGGTCACAGCTGTGGCACTTAAGCATCTTACAACCATCCAAAGCAGGCTATATACGTCGCCATTCTCCTTGTTAAGGCCTCGATGTCTCTCCAATTGCAGGTGTCACTAGCCCATCATCCACCGAAACAAACAATCAACGTGCTACTAGAGAACTCTGCAAATGAAGTAAACAGAATCAGTGATTATATCATGCTTGCTGTAGTTTTATTTTCATCAGAACATCCTAGACACTATTCTCCTTCCATGGAATGTTGGTAATATCTCGCATAATCTAAAAAGTCAGATAGCTGCAACAATATCTCTTGCGAGATTCTCACATCTGTAAGTACCGATTCTGAAAAACATTCGCTTGACTACAGCAAGAGCATGCGCATGCGCAGAACTCGATACGAACTGGAGCCACTTCCCATCATCAATGATTCCGAATCTTCTGTTTGTATCATAGGTACTAAAATAACATTAGCTGTCTTTAATACTCAAGCAAAAACAGAATTGCATTAATGATGCAAAAGTGCACCAGTTGTCTAATAGCTATCATCACTATTATCAACTGAAATCCTTCAAGTCACTATGACAATGACAATACCCATGTTAACACATTCATGCAAATCTTTCTATATTCGCAAAGCAAAGCATAATTGTATTCGTGTATGTACAATAAATCCAGAATGAGTGAAAAACCACCGATAATCCTACCACTCAAAGCTTTCGGAATGGACAAACATTTGATTGGGAAGGGCTTGATTTCCTATAGCCATTTGGAACTCGATGGCAGCACATTCGTTCATTGTGTCAAAATTGAACAATCCTCCTGGACCGCACACAACTACGGCGAGATGCCTTCCTTGAGCTTGCGTAGCGCTGTCTCTAACGATTCTCTTGACATTTGGTCTACCTTTGACGAAGTTGTAGAGCTTTTCATCGTATGCTAGACCTGAAGAGCTGCTCTTCTCATCCAATTCATTCTGGCCAGTAACATGGATAACAAGGTTGACGTTGCCGAAGCTGGAATAAGTTGAGAGGGCTTTAAATGTGTCGTTGAACCACTCTAGAGAATGCATCTCTCTAACAACCCAAACAAAGTCGATCTGCTCAACGAGCGTTTCCGAGCGCTCCATTTGGTTGAGAAGTGTAAGAAGGACGCTGATATTGGAAGTGACACCTGTACCACCGCTGAGTAATAAGACGTGCGAGAAGCCATTCAATGGTCTTGGTATTCCGCCATACGGCCCGTCTATAAGCACTGGAATCGAAGCAACCCCTCCTTTAGCTTTGTCATTCAGTTTTCTGGTGATGCCACTTTTACCGCGCAGAATCAATTGCAAGACGTTCGATGTACTGTGAACATCGTTTGAAGGAATAGATGTGATTGTGAATGGATGTGATTCGAGTGGGCTAATTGTTAGAAAGCGGATATAGATGCATTGCGCCGCCTTCCAACGCAGAGGGGTAACGATGCGGATTCTGATTATTTCCCCAGAATATGTGGCTACTTGAGCGTTGTAGTACGAAAATTCATTTGCCCAGAACGTCACCAAAATTTTACCGAACCAGCTCCAGGCCATTACACCAACAGTAACGAACAGGTACTGCCACGTTTGAGGGTATGTGACATCGGTATGAATAAACATCCAAACCAAAAAGAAGAAAGTTGTCACGATGTGCTGGCAAACGAAGAACTCGTAAGACATCATGTTTCTGAAAATCTTCATGCTTGAGACGATGATCCAGACCAAAGCTACTAGTGGAGGTATACCGTTCCAGAAGGGTACAGTACCATCGTAGTACTTCTGTAGGAGGAATCTTCCTAGTTCAATACCGCCGCCCATCTCATAACCCTGCTGAAGAGGCTCAACGATGAATGGTATTGTGTGAACCAAGGATAGAAAGAGAATAATGATAGCTCCGTATTGATGATAATCGATTAAACGTTCATGGCTTATGCCAGTGATAAAGCTGATTGGATTTATTCTAGAGCCCATGGAAAAGACTGGTGGAATCAAGCCAAGGGTCATCCAGCCTGTTCTAATAGCAAGTGGACCGGGACCAAATTGAATACCTGGTCTGTAATACGGGAAGATAGTGAATGCCCATACTGTGGTGCCGATGAAGATTGCTGAGAGCAAAATCATTGGAAATGTATGGGGGAAGTAGAAGTTTCTAATCCTGAAGCGGTGGTAGTGTAGAGCACGAGCAGAAGCTGCGATTCTGTTGATTGCTGATACGACGGAGGCCTGAAGGCTGCCGCCTCCACCCGAACCACTCCTCCTCATCATCGCCATAACTCTCTTTGTAGAAGCGATATACTTGAGGGATTGAACGATGATGACGACAATCAGAATAGCTGTAACCATCATAGCAAGATTAAAGGCATATCTGTCCTGTTTGGGGTGGAATTAGTTCAGCAAAGGTTTGCTTTGCTGGCAAGGCGAGGCTCACAGAAGTCCACCAATCGTCTTTATTCTTGAACATCTCTCTCCTCTCCTCGCTTGAGTAGCATTTCGTCAGCGGCGGTACGCAGACAGCCATGTTTATTCAATGTAAGAGCCAAGCGAGAGCGGCTGGCAAATTTAGATAAATAGGGGACCCAAAAATTTTGAAATATTCGTCTCATCACCTTTGAGTGGGCAGATTCCAGGGAGATTTCTAATAATTGTACGATGTCTGCGCAAGCCATTTGCAGTAGCTGCAGCAGCATCATCATCATCAATGGTAGACAAGATTCATTTAGGCTATTATCTTATGGGCAACGGTTGCATCTGCGACTTTTGATTGAAAATGGTCGTCGACGCGCGAGATTCGAGAGGAGCGGGAGCACTCAAATCGATGAGGCATTTTAATTTTGAGCGGAAGCGTTTGTCAGCGCTTGAAAAAATTGACAGTATGCCATTGTATGGCATACTTCACGTATATCTGCTCTTGATCGCCTGTAAATCTCATTTCGACTGAACACCGCGTCTATTGGAGTGCGCAGATAAATTGCGATTGCCACTGAGATTAAAAACCTTCCCGATTAGCCTTCCAAGTACACTCCTGCGCATCCTCGCTATCATTGGTGAAAAGTTTCACCAGGTGGTATGACGTTCACGATTGAGTGATCTGCAACTCCACCTTGGACTCTAAGTATGTATATCAACTCAGCAAAGATACCAGGCAAGTAGAACCATTGATTTTGGCAAGCCAAATCTCACATTAGATGATTCAGACACCTTCTGCATTGTGCTCAAGCGAGACATTAGCCAGTACTGCTTTCACCAAATCTATTCGCTGCTGGACGCATATTGTACGCGTCACTTTTAATTATGTACTGTCGCACGTTTAACATCTTCAACAGGCCTTATCATTGAGTACGACAGCATTTTCCAGAGCATAGCCGTCGAAATGCATGAAGTTATGATAGACAAGCTTCTCAAATCCCTCTATAGAAGCCATAGATTCCGTCAAGACTGTTTCATCGTTCTCCGTGGATTTGCTGGCTGAGACAGTGCCAGAGCGCAGCAGATGTCACGAAGATTCCATCAAAAGAGAGGAACTCCCACTGTTAGAGGGTGACAGTGTGATGCTCAATACTTGGTAAAAGTAGCTTTTTTGCACCAACTGAAAGTACAAAACACAGTTAGTAATCGCATCATCTTGGTCTCGCCCAGCTATTAGGAGCATAAGCATTACCCGCTCCGCTAAGGCTTCAACAGTTCAAGGAATCGTCAGGCACAAGCTATGACGTCATGCATCTCCTTCGTGTTTCTGTAGTATACATTAGATTACATCATTCTCATTACTTT